GGATGAATAGACTCGCTTATCAATCTCTCATGGCGCCTGCAGGTGAAGAGGTCGGATCATTCTACCCAGCCAAGTCACCTGGTTTTCCTCTGCTAGGGGTAAAGGGCGTTGCCACACGGCACACGAAACGAAAAACGAAACGAATGTATCTTCCCCGAGAAAACGGCCAGGTTCGTCGGATTGCTATAAAAATAGTAACGAGTGTATTTTGCCAGCTTTGGTGGGCACATGCACTCGTTTCGTTTTTTTTCGTTTTGTGTGCCGTGCGGCGAGACCCGAAGACATCTGGATACTGAACAGTTACGAATGTAAGGGACTGGACCCATGCACCCATGAACTGTGGAAATACAGACCCAAGTTCGAATCCAGATGATGGTACACGACGAGCAAAACCAAATATTTTTTCTGAATTGCCTGCGGCCGGGCAGCTCAATGATGATATCTCAAGGCCGTCGCCCTTCTTCGCCAGAAAAAAAAAGACAAAAGAAGAAGAACGCTTCATCAAATCACATCTCTGTTCCTTTGGCAAGCCACGCGCAAGTTTTCGGGTCATACATTTTCTTGTGTTCGCTGTACTTCTTTCGATAATAAGGCGTAATGTAAAATAGAATAGAATAGGAGGGAGCCTGGCCTGCGAGCTGGCTGCAGGTACAGGCCCGCATGGCCGAACCTGGACTGCGAGCTGGCTGCAGGTACAGGCCCGCATGGCCGAACCTGGCCTGCGAGCTGGCTGCAGGTACAGGCCCGCATGGCCATTTGACCTTCTAAGCTAAGCTGGATGATGCTTCCAGCAAAATTCCCCTCCGGGAAGTAATGTCCGGACCCCGGCCTCAAATTTGACAACGTAATCAAATTTGCACTTTTAAATTTTAATGCAAAAAAAATAGTAATAAATCTTCCAGTAAAGTAATGCCATGACTCCGGCCTCAAATTTGACAAAGTAATAAAATTTGCATTTTTAATGCAAAAAAAATAATAATAAAGCTTCCGGTAAAATTCTCCTCCAGGAAGTAGTGTCAGGACCCCGGCCTCAAATTTGACAAAGTAATGAAGTTTGCACTTTATTTTTATTTTTTTTAATTTTAATGCAAAATATATATATATCGTCAAATAGAACTGCCCGGTAAACCGTAGGCAGAGAGGGAGGAGAGGACAACAAACGAGGGGCTGTGACAAACTGTTTCGTCGGAGTTTCACCGACTCATCAGGAGGCTGAACCCTCAACAGTCTGTAGAATCCCCTCACTGATTACACTGTAAGTGATAATCCACCTTAACCAAAATCAAAGTAGACTATCACTCACCCACACCAGATGGAAAACTCTACAGACTGTCGGATATATGGATATAGATATTGAAAAATAAAGTTCTTTTGATAGGATGCTCTTTGCATTTTTTTTATTTTTTTTTTATGCCAGCGGTTAGTTGATTGCCGTTCGAGCTCTGGGCTGGGTCCGAGTAGCAGTGTAGAGTTTCGTCAATGCCTGAATCTAGACGTGTTTGAGGAGATGTGCAGAAATCGCGTTCAGTTTCATCAATTGCACATCTCCTTAAAAACGTCCAGATTCAGGCATTGAGAAAACTGAACACTGCTCGCGCAATTTGGCCCTTTGGGAGTGCCCATTCACATTTCACCGACATGCAGATTTTGTTTCGAGCACCGATACTGAACGGAAGTAGGGGCAAGGTCCCACTAGCAAAGAGGACACGWTTGWATGCCTGCATCTGGACATTGAACTGCTTTTTTTTTTTTTTTTTTTTTAATGCAACTCTGCTCGAAACACGTCCACATTCAGGAGAGAGCTTAATGCAATCCTCTTTGCTAGTGGGACCCCGCCCTAGGAGTCATGATAGGTACGCACTACATAGTGTGTGGCGAAATTGAGGCGTGTACTGGTGGTTTGCGATATACCACAGATCGCGAGTTCGAATCCGGGTCCAATCAACTGGATGAAGGACTGTTAGGTGCTACCTTACGCAAAAGAAAGAAAAAAAAAAAGGATATTTCACTCTAGCTGCTTGTGCACGGTAAAAGCGTTCCAGTGTGACCTGACGAGACTGGGAAATAGTAGAAATACTGATCGAGTAGATCCTGAACCTGGCCTCAATGTGACACAGTGTTCAGTTACTATGACTTGAAGACACAGTTGGTCATATAAGAATAATAATAAACAAAGATGCAGGGAAATGTGATGGCGGTCTCTGAATATAAATTATATAATAATAGCTGTCCAAACATTCACCTCGCAGTGAAAGTCATCCGATGAAAAGTCCCCGTGTGACTATTATACTACACTATAGCTTGTTTATTTTTCCCTTTTTAGACAGCTGATGATAATCGAATAAGAAACAAACAAGAACGCCGGCAAAATTTTTGATCGCCGGTCTCCGAATATAATAGCTATACGGACATTCACTGGTCGTAAAAGCGGTCAGATTCAAAAGTCCTCGAGGGACTGTACTACAACAAGGCGTTTCCCCCCCCCCCCTTTATTTTAAGGTCCAAATATACGGAAGGAAGATTTCCACAAAGAGCTGGACAGCCTCCCACAAACACCACTGCACACAGACCTGAATCAACTTTTTTTTTTTTTTTTTTTTTCGGGGGGGGGGGGGGGGGGGGGGCTGTGACACACTTTTAGTTTGAAATAGGCGGTGGGGCCGGTGTCATGGTCACCATGTGAGTTCTGAAATGTGCACGTTTAGCGGAGTCTTTAACTGCACCGGTCGCTAAACTCTTCGGAGCTCTCGGCCGAGACGGGGGGTCGCCTTCTTTGCTCCATAATTTTTGGAACTGCTAAAATTGCCTTTTTTCTGACCGTTGGGTGCGACTCCAAACTACTCGGCCCCCCAAACATCATCTTGCAAATCCAAAATCATAACCCTACAAACAAAAGACACACACAAAAAAAAAAGATTATGCTTCGATGAGTTTTTTTCTGTTTTTCTGCAGCACAGCAAGTCACGTTGGCGTGCTGCTTCGGTTAAGACTAGACGGTGTGCACACTGATGGACCTACCACTCTGCCGATCCTGCCCAAGCGGAGCAAGTATGCTGCAGCGCAAGGCAACTTCGCGTGCTGCTATTGGCCAAGAGCCGGCGATGTGCTGCAGTTCGGGCGGGAGGGGGGAGGACACAGCACTTGCACCCTCGTTGCCCCCTGGCTACGGCGAGACCTGTCTGCCCCCAACTGGGGGCCGGATGGGAGCGGCAGTGGCCACAACCGCTGCAACTTTGATTTTTGACGGGTGATATTGCTCTGATCTGGCGCTGTCCGGGTTCTTGCCCCCTGCTCGTCGCCCCCTGCTATGGCGAGATTGCTCTGATGCTTCTGTAGCTGTCCAGGTTGTTGACCCCCTTTGCCGTTGGGTCGGGGGTGGATCCCGTCGGGACGGCACCATGTTGTAGAACTCTCGGGAGAATGCATATTGTGGCCCTTGCTACGATGAAGAGCGCAGACAAATGCCATACTCAATGTGAATCGCAGAAATCTGTGAGCCTCGCTGTCTGGTTCGTCCCACGGCAAAGCAGTGCGCTGCAGATCACCTTTGAAGCACGGCAACGGTTTCTTGGAGTGCTGTTTCTCGCCCAGACCACAGACGTCCTGTCATGCTCACCTGGCCAGTCATCCTTCGGTCACTGGCAAATGCTCGGCCCTTGTGTTAGCCGGGCCCCCACCGGCGGGGCCCCAACCCTGCACCCTAAAAGCTAGGGCAAGGGGGGAAACATGCCGTTACCCCACTCCAGAGGTAGAAAGCTATGCTTGCAGGGGTCCCCTGTATAGCCTTGGTAGTAGTGGTAGGTAGTGAAAAGGACAAGGTGTTCCATGACATGGCAGAACGCCAGTTAAAAGATATGTGAGGTGAGATAAAAATATATGGCTGTGCGCCGATGAGGAGAAGGCAGCTTTTAAAAAAAATAATAATAAAAAATTACAATTTTAATGAATTTTTTATTCCCTGAAGTCAAATGACCAAGGGTGAGAAGCACACAGGGGATCCTGGCACAATTCTACCACCCTTGCCGACCACATGATGCAAACGGTGTTACGGTGAGAGCCGCAACGTATAAGCCAAGTCATATATGCATTAACAAAGTGAGCTTTATTTTTTTTATTTTTTTTCAACACCTCTCTGGTGGTAGTGCTACAAAGTGGCCCAGCCTTCATCAATTTTCAAATAAACCTGGTGGTAGTGCTACAAAGTGAGCTTGCGCCCGGCCTTCATCAATTTTCAAATAACCCAAACTCCCACAGCTGTTGCGCGATCGATAACTTACCTGAACGGCTAAACCGAAGAAACGGTAACAAAAAAAAAAAAAAAAAAAAAA